GAAAGACTTCGACATAGATGAACCAAAGCCAATAATACTTTTTGAGGACAATCAAGCCTGTATTGCTATCTGCAAAGGAGAAGGCACCAAATCTAAGAACAAGACCATCGCACTCAAATGTCACTACGTGAAAGAATTGCAAGACCAAAAACTGATTGAACTGAGATACTGTCCTACTGACCAGATGATTGCTGACGTCCTGACCAAGCTGCTTGACAAGCAACGTTTTGAGACTCTTCGTGAATGTTTATATTTGCATGACTTTCGTGTTTTAACTTGAGAAGGGGTGTTGGGTATTACAAGATAAAAACACTCAGTATATATTGGGTTAAATGTCTGTTTTGTTGTTACAGGAAATCACATGCTTTTGTGTAAGCCAATGTTAGTTTAGGTCCCCCAGCCCGGGAAAATTCTTCCTGTTCCAGGAGTTTGATTGGAAGCAAAGTGTCAAAGTGTCTTTGCATTTTATGGCTCCTCTTCCTCTCTTTGTTTGCTGTTCTGAAGAAGCGTGTAAGAGAAGCCATTGCAGCTCTTCTAGTCTCGTCCTTTGTAGAGTGAAGATGTAGGGATTAGCTCTGTTGTTATTTTCCTCCCAGTTACCTTTCCCTGTGCTAGAATGTAGTAAAAACTTTTATATTTTAAAACACACATGGACTCTGAGTCTGATTATTGCACTCTGGCATTGCTAAGCTGTTCTTTTCTCTGCTGAATCACAATTTTCATAAAGAAACTCCAACACTATAGCTCAAGGTTTAGAATATGTGATTATTTTTCTTTAAGACTACGGAGCCTTCCAGTGAAGTGGAAGCACTTATGGAAAAAATGAAGCAGCTACAGGAATGCAGAGATGAAGCTAAAGCCAGCAAAGAAGAAAAGGCCACTCGTTTTGAGAAGGAAAAGAGAGAAAGCATGTTGGTCTGTTGCTCAGGTTGGTACATATGCAGATTGTAAATATGTCACATTGAGATGGTTTTTAGCATATACAGTAGCATTTTTGTATGTTCGATTTTAATGTGAATGGTATGATTGAATTTTACTTGGTACCCATCAAATTAAACACTGCACTATCTGGTATTATCAGTGGCCACAGCAACATTTTCTGTAGTGTGAGTACATAATGAAATACTTCACAAACCACTAATCTCCTCATAAATGAAAATGTCTGTTGCAAGCCAATCAGTTCTGTATGTATTTATTTTATTTAGAAAAGAGCAAGAGTTCAGTAGCATCTTAAAAGACTAACAAAATATGTGGCAGGGTAGGAGCTTTCGTGAGTCACTGCTCACTTTTTCAGATACAGCTAGAATGGGAGTCCATCTGTCCTATTTACTGGAAAGTGGTGTGATTTCAAACTCTTGCTCTTTTCTACTCCTACAGACAGACTAACATGGCTACCCATCTTTATTTTATTTAGAGATCTATATCCCATTTTTGTCCCCAATGGTGCCCCAAAGCAGCTTACGTTGGTCTTCTCTCCTTCATTTTATCCTCACAAAAACCCTGTGAGGTAGATTAGGCAGAGAGAGTCATTAGCCTGAGGTCACCCAGCAGGATTCCATGGCAGAGTAGGGATTTGAACCTTGGTCTCTCACATCCTGGTCTGACACTATAACCATTATATCAGACTGCCTGCACAGATTGTATTCATATAAACTGTACAGGAACAAGCTGGAAGAGCAACCAGAGGATATTTGTTTTGCCGTGCCCCAGTGCTTGCTTTCAGCGGTGGCAATATGAGTAAGGAGGCCTTCTCCCACTGGCAGTTAGCTGAAAGCAGCACTAGAAAAAATACCCTGGTTCCTTTGGGTCCTCTAAACAACAGCTGAAGGAAGCAAAGCCGCAAGCTCAGCAGGAGCAGTTTCTTCTGGATAGTAGTAGTAGTATATATACTTTATACAGGAGTATTATTATGAATCTTAGAATCATAGAATCACAGAGCTGGAAGGGGCCATACGGGGCCATCTATTCCAACCCCCTGTGTTTCCATGCAGGATCAGCCTAGAGCATCCCTGACAAGTGTTTGTCCAGCCGCTGCTTAAAGACTGCCAGTGAGGGGGAGCTCACCACCTCCTTAGACAGCTGATTCCCCTGTCACACAACTCTTACTGTAAAAAATGGTTGTAATACTGACTTCCTTTCCATAGCTATTCTTGCCTGGTCAAGAACTACAGTTGGATTTGTGTAGCTGATCCATGCCTGTTGCTTCTGTCTATCTTCATTTCTATCCTCTCCTTCCTTTAAAGAGCTCAAAGCAGTATACATGATTCTCCACTTTTTAAATTTTATACTCACAAAAATCCTGTGAGGTAAATTAGGCTTCAAGAGTGTAAACTTCATGGACAAGTGGGCATTAGAACTGCATCTTTGTCCCACCGTTTTAACCCAGGAGTCTCCAACCTTTTTGGGCCTGCAGGTGTGATGATGATAAATGTGTGTTGTCTGTTACTTGTTAAGAGTGCTCAATATGTTTGACATGTAATTCTTTGAAATAAACCTGAAACATTTTTGTGTGATATACCACTTTGTCTTTATTATTTAGAAGTATAAGCATGGCAGTTCTGTACGGGCACATAACGGGCTGCTCTCCACTGTGCTAAACTGCCCACTTAACAACAAAATTGCCCCCTAACAAAAAAAATCTAGTTACGGGCACCTTTGGAATTTTGACACAACATGGTGGGCACAGCCACAAAAATGGCTACCAAAGAAGACCTGCTTCAGTAGGCAGAGCCAGCCATAAAATGTCTGCCACAGTTTACTTTGAGTCACCTTGTGCTGTGGTAATTGGTGGAATTATGGACAGATTTATGATTTGTTTAAGACTGATAGAAAAAGGTATGGTTTCAGGGAAAAAAATAATGAATTGGAGTGTGTTTGGGTGGAAGGAGGAAAAAAAAGATATCAAGGATATATAAAATTTTGGTATATAGAGGATGAACTTGTAAAAGGGCAAATTATTAAGTGGGCGATAAACATGAATAAGGAAATTACTATGTCATCTTGGGAATATTTATGGAAAAGTTCAATGAGAATTTCAACTTGTAATAATTTGAGAGAAAATTGTTTTAAAATGATGTATAGATGGTATATGACCCCGAAAAAGATTGCAAATATTAACAATAATATGTCTAATAAGTGTTGGAAATGTAAGGATCATGAAGGCTCCTTTTATCATATGTGGTGGACTTGTGACAAAGCAGCGAAGTATTGGACAGAAGTCCACGCTGAGATACAGAAAATCCTGAAATCACCATTTAAGAAAGAGCCAGAAATTTTACTTCTGGGTCTAAAAATGGAAGAAGTTAATGTGACAAAAAAGACATTGTTATGGTACTTACTGACAACTGCAAGAATGACTTATGCTCAATTTTGGAAACTGGATAAAATGCTTATGATATCATGTTACCTAAAGAGGGGAAATGAAAAAGAGCATTTAGAGAGGGGGGGAAAGAAAAGGAGAGGAAGGGGACTCGCACTGTGGGAAGCCAAGCAGGGGGGGAGGGGAGGAAAAAATTAGAAAATGGATATATTTGATATATTTGAATTGTGTAATTCTTTGTTAAAGTTGTTATATCCTTCAAATAAATAGTTTAAAAAAAAAAAAGATCCTTGTGCTGTGGTACCAGCTGCTGCCAGAGCAATGTTTTTAAAAATCTGCACAGCCAGTCAGAAGCTTTGTTGGGCAAAAGCCCCACCCAGCAAAACTGCTTTCTAAAAACATGTGCTGGGCTCCACGGCACCTTTGAGCACCACACATTCTAACCATTCTAGCACACTAGCTAGGGCTTCAGTCAACCTGTGGTCCAAGCAAGATACATTGCATTTGATACAAGTAATTGTTTACCTTTGACAAGTGTATGTACAGTATTCATATAAGTGTACAGTATGTAGACAAAATAACACTTGAAGAAATCAATCCCCCCCCCCCCCCCGCCTTTCAGGCCACATTTTAAAATTAAAGCTCATTTCCTATACTCCACTCTCCAACCCCAGCAAAAACTAGGGGCAGGGTCTTTCCAGTTGTCCAATGTAGTAACTTTCTGTTGATCATGCAATCTGTTATACAAGCCAGTTTGGTGTAGTGGTTTGATTTCCCACTCCTCCACTTGCACCTGCTGGATGACCTTAGGCAAGCCATAGTTCTGGCACAGCTGTTTTTTAAAAAGAGCAGTTTCTGTCAAGAGCTCTCTCAGCCCCACCTACCTCACAGGGTGTCTGTTGTGGGGAGGGGAAGGGAAAGGATAAGCCGCTCTCTTGGGTAGTGAAGGACGGGGTTTAAATCCAATCTCCTCCTCCTCCAATAATAATAATAATACCCATGCTGGATAGCCCAGGCCAGTTCGATCTCATCAGATCTCGGAAGCTAAGTAGGGTCAGCCCTGGTCAGTATTTGGATGGGAGACCACCAAGGAATACCAGGGTCACTACATAGAGGCAGGCAATGGCAAACCACCTCTGAACATTTCTTGCCTTGAAAACCCCATGGGGTCATCATAAGTCAGCTGTGACTTGACTGCACATTATAATTCTCAGCTTAATGCTTTCTGTATTACTAAAAATGGTTTACATTTTTAACAGAGGATGAAGAAATGACACCAACAAGAGATGTATCTCGCCACTTTGAAGATACCAGTTATGGTTATAAGGATTTCTCCAGGCATGGAATGCATGTGCCTACATTGCATGCTCAGGTAGCATTTATGCTTTTGACAAGCACCAAGATCTAGAGAATGCACCGTGTAATCTGTATTCTAAGTGTGCATTACATTTGGCCCACTTAGAGTTTTACTGTTATCCTACGGATATAAGAATACTTCCTAAACCATAAAGATTATTCTCAAGATAAATTTAAAAATGTTTGTTGTACTAGGTGATCTTGTTATCTTCCCTCATGCACCCATTTCGTCTTTAAGGACTATTCATGGGAGGACCATGGCTATTCACTGGTAAATCGTCTGTATCCAGATGTGGGGCAGCTGATCGATGAAAAGTTTCATATTGCTTACGATTTGACTTACAACACAATGGCCATGCATAAAGATGTGGATACCTCAATGCTTAGACGTGCAATTTGGAATTATATCCACTGTATGTTTGGAATAAGGTTGGTCCTGTTATCCCTGCATATAAGACACACTTTAGTTAGGATCTCCTCTTAATTCTGGTAAATAGCACTGCTATTATGAGCTTTACACATGACTTGCTATAAATACAGATTATTAGATTAGGTTACACCAAGATCTTGTATCTAAATTTGACTTGATCCTGTATCTAAATAACTTGGCTGGAGAGCAAAGGAACATAGTAGCTGTTAATAACTCTTTATCAACTTCCTATCATATGTTCTAGGACAAAGGTTTTATATCAAGTAACCTCTGGAGAACAAAAGATAGTGTCTTATGCCCAGGTAAAGTTGGTCATCTTAATTTTTAAAAAATGGAGACCTGCTGTTGGGAAATAATATGGAGATATTATTAAAGAAAGCCAGTCAGTGTATTATGGTGAATGGCTAGGAAGCAGAAGTAGCTAGTCTGTTGCCTGGTGCCTGATTTTCTAGGGGCCGTCTTAAAGGAATTATGGGAAGCAGAGGAAAAGAACTAAGGAAAGAACTCTTTGTATTGATATCCACAGAGAAGAGACAGAAGTATTCAGAAGGCTATTGGTGTGCAGCTGTGTTGAGAATATGGCTGGAGTTCCAGCAGAGCTAGTACAGATTCAATCAGAACCCCTTATTCTTTGCTCAGTACCTGTATTTATTTTGGACATTGCTATATGGTGAATTATATATTGAGAGAAATAAGCACCAGTGATTCAGAAAAGAATATTTGTCTTCTTGTTTCCACACAGATATGATGATTATGATTATGGTGAAATTAACCAGCTACTGGACCGCAGCTTTAAAGTTTACATCAAAACTGTAGTTTGTATGCCTGAAAAGACCACAAAAAGAATGTATGATAGCTTCTGGAGGCAATTCAAACACTCTGAGAAGGTATATTCTGCATGCACATGTTTTACTTGTTGGGTTGCACATTGATGCCACTAAACCGTTCTAGAGGCTTATTGCTTAAATTGCAGTTACCATAAGTAATCTCATTACTTGTAACAATAAGCCCTTTATTTTATCTCCAGAAAGTAATTGTTTTCATGTTATTTCTTAGCACAGTAGACTGAGGATTGTAATAGTTGTTCAGGCAATGTTTCACATAGCTCTAGCAAGTTTAAAGATCTTACTAACTTAAGCCAAACTATAAACCCATGCAGCTTGGTCTTGTTTCTGAAACAGGCTTCCTGCATTTCTAAAGTCAATTGCATGGAGGCCACTATCTTTATTAATTTGGCCATCATTGATCTATTAATCACAGAAAGTATGCATGCCTCACAAAAAGAAGCAATTCTGTGAACATGAAATTCACTTTAATTAATTATATGTGGTTTTTTTTAAAAGGTCCATGTCAATTTGCTTCTCATAGAAGCGCGGATGCAAGCTGAACTGCTTTATGCTCTGAGAGCCATTACTCGCTACATGACTTGAAACATCAGTTAATGGTGATGGAAGGTGCAGCATATTCTACCTACCAGAGGATGATAACAATAAGTGGTGGCTAAAAGCTATGAGATCCATCGTGCCATAACTCCTTTAGTTTCAGCTCTTCCCTTGATGGAATGTCACTGCTGCTGCTAGATGTGGTGGTAGGGGGACACAACTGTGCAGACATGCTCCCTGATCACTACAGCCTTGCTTCTGGTAGCACAGGAAACCATGATCTGTGGCAGCAAAGTAGCTAATTATGCAGCTCTTGTATTGTTGCAAGTAGATAAAATCTGGAGCACAAGAAGAATTTGAGGACTTCTGTTTTATACAAGAATAATTGATTTTAGTAATGTCCTGATGCTGCTGTATTTGCTGTTGGAATGAAGAGACTAGCAATTCTAATTAAGCTACCAAGTGAACATAAACACTGCTATTGTCTGAGCCTACATTTTGATATGGTTTTAGAGAAAGTCCTTACTCATAATCCAACAGGACTTTTTTTTAATACTGTTGCTTAGCTTTAAAATATGCTAGTGGCTTGGACTTGTTCACAGGGGTGTGGTTAATTCAAGAGTGAGAAGGAGGGGATGGGAATTTTTAAAGCTGCTGAGTCTGCAACTGTGTGCTAAATTCTTGGGAACAAGGATGAGCATAGTTTTTCTCTTTCTGTTGTTCCTAGGAGCTAGCTACAATGTGAAAATGTGATTTCAGACTATCAGGAAACCGCTCACTACATTGCGTACTCACAGCTATGGTCTATCTCTTAGCAGCAGCAGCTTAAGTAGGAAAATGGTGTAAAATGTTAACTGCAAGTTTGGTATACAGCTGGTTTTTTGGATACTCTTGTATGAGTGTGAACTGCTTCTGAAATCTCAGTATTACTGAATTATGAAATAAACCTTTTCTCCTCTCTAGTCTTCTCTCAGAATTTTTTTTGTTTGAACTACTGTTGCCCATTGCAGAACAAAGCAATGAGCCTTTGCTGTATGTGAGATTTACATTTGAGGAAAAAGAGCAAAAAGTTAAACTGCAACCTTTGACAGTTTAACAGGAAGCAGCTGCTGTTTCCTCTCTCCAAAAAGCACAAGGTTTATACTGACCCCAAAATCATTGGCTAAATGTGCAGTTTCAAATGTTGGACTTGGTTGAAATTTCCGTTTCACAGAAGATGATGATTTAACTAACGCAACAGCTAATGATGGAAGAGGAGTATGTGCCTTCTGTGTTTAGTATTAAAGTGTATTTTCTCTACAGTTCAATGAAGTTATGCAAGGATTTCAGCTTGCAATTTTTCTCAAGTAGTCATCTTTGTTACAGATTTAAGTAAGCACAGGTAAAAATTTAGGAGCAAGTGATGCATATTTCTGAGGTGCCTTGGTTTAGAGCATGTTATGATTTGTTGAAGTAACTTTTTATCCAAAAGTGGTGGTGTGGGAGGAGGGAGGAACACAACAGTAGCCAAGCTAGTCCTATCACTTAATGATGCAGCCAATCCAAAATTATGAATAAAGGTAATTTGTGTTTAGATTGTGTTAGATTGTGTTTAGGCCTCCCATCCACCATTCTATCTATCATACTGTGAATGACCTTTCCCACATTTTAACTCTTACCTAAAGAGGAATGTCCTTTTGATTACTAAAAAGTGGGGCTCTTACTCCCTGACATGGCATATGGAACCATCATTTCCTTCACACTCTTGGGAAAAAGATTTATTGCCATGGATTTAAAAAGAACATTAATATGTCCAGCAACCCTGATGCATATGGTAATATTGTAACTAAAAAGTGAAGGCTTTGCCCCCTTCCCAGTGAGTTATAACAAGGTAGCAGGCAGGCTTGCCACCATCTTCTGCTGGCACTACATTAATTGCATGGCAGCAGGCCAATGCTCCATCTAAGCTGTGGATTCTTGTGAGCAAAAATTCTACTTTGTGAGCTACAGGCATTAGAGTTGTGAGTGAGTGATTTGGCTACTGCATATAATAGTTTGCTCTGGAGCCATCCTTTCTGAGCTAAGACAAAAATGTGTGTGCCAAAGGCTAAAAAACTGTGAACTAGCTCACACTAACTCAGCTTAGAGGAAACACTACAGCAGACCAGCTTCTCACCCAAATGCATTTGTAATTTTTGTCAACCTCTAACACAACTATACAGTCAAATAGACATTAGTATTAAGTTGTTCAAAAAAGCACTTAGTCCTGATGATGTAGATGGTTTATTTTTGCATCCTCAAATCTTACTGGAAATTTAAGCAAAGGAGTTGTGCAGTGTACAAGGAACATTTAAAAAATATATCAGAGAACCATTTTTCATAGAAACAGCTCCTGCAGTGTCCTTAAAGTATTTCAACACCACCCACCTTCAAATTAAGTAATATTTAAAGGACATAAAAATGATTTTCAATTCTGAATTCTCTGGAGAAGCTTCTGTGCCACAGGTTTGAACTCTGATTCCCAATGCAGTTTGTGATAATCTCTTAAATCACTGTCCAAATTGTAGTCCAATGCAAATTCTTCATCTGCAGGGAGAGGAATATCTATATCAGTAAATTTTAAGCAATCTAAACACTTATTGGTAAGGGTATAGTCACATAAGTACCTAGATGTACATGCATAATTTGTTTTCACACTGGGAAAAATGAAAGCTCTCCAGATATGTATGTGAAAGCTAACTCCTGCAAGTGAGTTACGCAGGACTCAGGCCCATCCTGAGGAAGCTGTTCTGACTGCTCGATGGCAAGTGGCCACATTAATTAGTCACCAACTTTAAATTCCATGTAAACCTATGAACGCATAAGAAATTAGTATGTACTTTCTAACAACCTATAAGAAGATAAAAGGTAAAGGTTTCCCTTGCTCGAAAGCCAGTCAAATCCCACTCTAGGGGGCGGTGCTCATCTCCGTTTCCAAGCTGAAGAACAACATCTAAGTTTGCTCGGCTTTAACCTACACATTATGGAACAGTGATGAGGTTGGATCTTAGTTCTCACCCAAAAATGATGCAAGCAGAATTAGCAGGGTGTTGGAGTCTTCCTCTTCTAAGCAGGGCCTAGCACTAGTAACATTCTCACTGTAGTTCCACAGGGTTTTGCATATCAAACAAGCCAGCTGCCAGTCTGTAGGCCCAAAGTCTCTTAAACAATCAATTAACCTGTCATCATAATGAAGAAAAGACAAAATTCCAAATCTGTAAAGTTTGCTTTTCTACAGCTTTCCTTAAAACTGAACAAAGCAAGATGACTCTACAGCCTTTTTTAAGGAGGTAATGGAGGGGGGGAGAGAGATAATCTTCTCCCCGCCCCTTTGTAAATTTAGAGTACAAAATTAGAAAACCTCCTTTGACTCTTTACTTAGGCAAGTTTCCTGCACTCACTTTTTAATTGCGTCTTCTTCATTCAATATAGTACGCCTGCTTCTATCCACAGTAAGGTTGAGGAGAACTCCACAGGCCGAAAAGCAGACATCTTGATGTTTGGCATCGAGTAAAGCAATCATGAATTTGTACACTGGATTTCATAATAAGAAACAACTTTTTCAGACTTATTTTTAAGTAGAAGTATCTGTACAGTATTCTCTGAACTAGTAGTTTGTGTTTTGTTTGAAACACACAAATATGTAGATGTTCTACCTAATGCCATGTTGAAATATTGCACTCTTAAAATCTTAATGACAGTTATTATTTAACTGTTGATTTCACTCATCGCTGATTTTCTCACTGAAACTCAAGACAGATTACAAAATATGAAAAACAATACAGTGGGTCTAGAATTATAGAACTGAAAATAATTCAAGCAAAAGTTTGTCTTAAGGCAACAAAATAGGCAATGCAGGCAAAAGGTTATCAAAACATTGTTTATAAAGAAACAACCTGAACTATTCTCTTTATAAAATGCCCTCCTGAAGAATTTCATTTTACATATTCTGTTGAATAATAAAAGTGGGGAGCCTCCCTGGCCTCCACAGCCAACCCATTCCACATGGTGGAAGCCACAATGGAGAATGCACATGTATACTGGATATACCACATTTTAGAACAACGTGATCACAATGAAACATGAAGGTCCATCGTACAGATAAATTGGTCCATCTAGTTCAATATTTTCTACTCTGACTGGCAATGGCTCTCCATGATCTCAGGCAGAGAAGATCTTTCCCAGCACTGACACTGATTATTTAACTAGCGATTCCACAGACTGAACCTGCAACCATTTGCTTATGAAGAATGTGCTTTATCACTAAGCCCCTGCCTTTCTTTTAAAGCCAGTTCAGCTTCAGCTGTGCTTACTACTAACCCAGTCATGCTTACATTGAGATTTTTTATTCTTAATTTTTTTTAGCAAGGACTCTGACTGCATCATTGAATCTCCTCCAAACTGTCTCATTTGCACCTGTGACTTGATAACTGACCGGGTGGGGCTTCCTATAAAGACCATAACCATGTAGGTTGATTGTGCTCACTCTGGCTGCAATTTATTGACTTGTTGTTACACAAGAAATTATCCAGGCTTGGCCTGGAACAGCAGAGGGTGGGGAGACCTTAGAATGAATTCCTAGGTTCAGGAGCACTATATCTGAAACTGAACCCTGTCCTTTGGCAATACATAGTTTTCATATAGTTTTTTATTTGGTCTCAGAGCCTTTAAATGGAAACAAGCAGCGCATTGTGCTGATGTTACTAGTGTGCAGTTGTATAAAACTTGGTCCCTGATAATGGTATTTGAACTCACCCTTCCTCTGAACAATGAAGTCACAGATTTCATCATACTGGGAAAGATTACCAAAGACTCGGACAGCCTCCAGAATCCCATCCATATTACTACTCATTAATAACTTTATGAGTACTGTTAGAAAAAAAATTAATGGAAAAGACACATTTAGCAAAGTTCAAGAATCAAGTGTATTTTTGTTGCAGTTAAATGATAAATGACAATACGAAGTTTTTGCAAGTAGCAAGACAGCCTTTTTCAAGAAAAGTGCAAACACCTCAGATGGAAAACAGAGGGGTTTGGGGGATGAAAAGAAAATTACACATTAGGGAACAGTTCTAGTATTTGCTGTAAGCTGAACACAGCCAATCTGGTCACAAGCTGGATGCAGTTACTAAGAAATTCTGGAAAGCGAACAGAAATTAATGAAGTCCTTCATGTGTTGGGTGTACAACAGATACATACATTTGCACGTTCCTCTTATTTTAGCCAAAACATAAGAGGTGGCAGCAGTGTGAGACAATGAAGAAAAGGCGATCTCATGCAATTCTCCTCCTCACCGCAGCACTCCTATCCCACATGGTTTTTTGTCCACAGGAATCCCAGCAAAGGGGGAAAAACCCTCAGAATGGGAATTTAAATTAAGACTTTCTTCTAGTGTCTTGGTATGGCTTCCATATCTGCCCATGAACCAAGCTAATCTGATGTTCAGTTCTTGAATAGATGGTCGCTGACAGCCAAGGTATGAAAAGCAAGCAATGCAATCTACTAGTCATTTAAAGGATGCGCAGGTGCAAATAGCTCTCTGCTTTACAATACAAGTAAGTCACAACCATTGAGGAAATTTAGTTCTCACACAGGACAAATGCAGCCACAAGCTACAATGACCTAGCCCTTGAAACAAACCTACTCAAGACAAACTTCAACTACAACTACTGAGGCACTTTGATTAGGAGTTCACCTTACATGTAGCTCAAGGGAGTCAAGCAACATAAATTTGCCTGGCAATCATATTCAGCCCAATCTTTACAGTTTGCCCACTGACAATGAATTATTCATTATCTCACACAAGACATTCTTGTCAGTAGACATGTGACCACCAATCTGTATCTACAAAATGGTAAAATATTTGTGATTGGCCACATCTATTCAAACCATGCTCACAGTGAACATGTGCTGAAATAAAACCGGTGTATCCTGTTCCAATGCTGCAGCATTAGCAAGTATAAATAATGATACATAATGAGCTCGCTCTGCGGGGAGGGCGGGGTATAAATCTTAATCTCTCCCTTATAATAAAGCAGTAGTGGGGACCAACGTTCTAAAATGCCCGCCTTTAGTGTTTGGCCGGAAGAACTGCCACTCAGAAGACACTGGCTGGGTTGACTGACTGCTTTGTGCAGTCCCGCCCAGCGTTCCAAGGTCTTTTGCATATGGAAGCTGATTGGACTTCACTCCATTCCACACCTCAAACTCCCCCCCCCCGCAAGGCAGTTGGAATTTTCAGTTGCATATGGAAACTACTGTATTCTGAGGTAACATATGTCCTCGCTCACAACACATCACTTCCCCTTTAAAAGAAACAAACCCAATAACACAATCACGCCACACCACAAAGAAGACAGATCACACCACAAGCAGAATACCTCAAGGCAAAAAATGATAGGAAAAGGTGCCAGCAGGCACCGCATTACTGCCACAGATGGTGTGCAGGTCCCAGGTTCATGTTTTAAAAGCTGCCTGGGGGACTATGGACCATTCACACACTTTCAACCATAACATACCTCATAGGATAGTTGTGCGGATCATACGGGGGAGAGGAGAATGATGTCAGCTGCTTTGGTTCCCACTGCAGGGAAAGACTGCCCTTTCCCTAGGCAGAGGCTGGGGGGGGGATGTAAAACTTAAGACAGACAGGCAGATAAAGGTTGGCTGATGGTTGCCTGGAAAGGACATAGGGTTGAAGCCTGCTGAGGGTGGGGTCTGAGGAGGAAACGGAAGGCCGATGCCTCCGTCGCCCGGCCGAGATTGGGGGGGTGGGGGCGAGGCAGGCGATGGAAGGCCGATGCCTCCGTTGCCTGGCTGGAGTGGCCGCGGGGGGGTCTGGAGTCGGGCGGCCGCTGGCGGGGGACGCAGTCGCCCGGGCCGAGATTGGGGGGGCAAGGCGGGCGACAGAAGGCCGATGCCTCCGTCGCCCTGCCCTCTACAGAATCCACCCCCCAAACCTCCAGGTATTTCCCTCCTTAGAGCTGGCAACCCTACATTCCCCTCAGTGCCTGTTGGTAGGCAACTAAGCTTGGTCCTGTCACCTACTTTGGCCTTTGGGAGAAAACACATCCTGATAGGGTTGCCAACTCCAGATGGGAAATTCCTGGAGATTTGAGGGATGGAGCCTGAAGAGGGTGAGGTTTGAGGAGGGGTGGGACCTCAGACAGGTACAATGCCATAGACTCCACCCTCCAAACCAGTCAGTCCCTCATAGGGAACCATTGTTGCCAATCTCCAGGTGAGGGCTACAGATCACTCACAATTACAACTGCTCTTCAGGTAGCAGAGATCAGTTCCTCTGGAGAAAACAGTGGACTCTGTCATTATACCCTGCTGAGGTCACCAATGCCATAGACTACACCCTCCAAACCAGCCATTTTGTCCTGGGTAACAATTGCTGCCAATCTCCAGGTGAGGGCTACAGATCACTCACAATTACAACTGCTCTTCAGGTAGCAGAGATCAGTTCCTCTGGAGAAAACAGTGGACTCTGTCATTATACCCTGCTGAGGTCACCACAGCAAATTGACACTGTTTGCCCAAAGCCAGAGCACTCCCCCAGAGCCTCTTTCTAGATCCCGTTGTATTGCTTTCACAACGGGCTTTACTGCTAGTGATGCTATAAAAGAGCACAGCAAATTGACACTGTGTGCCCAAAGCCAGAGCACTGCCCCAGAGCCTCTTTCTAGATCCCGTTGTATTGCTTTCACAACAGGCTTTACTGCTAGTAAATCAAATAAATAAATAAAATACATCAGAGTTTTTACTGGTCTAAGCATTTTGAAGAGTCGGACTCGACTGTGCGACTGAACAACAAGCATTTTGAATGGGGAGGCAGTGCCTTCAATTTCCACAGTAAGTCTTCTCCCTTTACACTGTTCACCTCTACTGATTTTGCATTGTCTATTCTCCCTATTGTAAGTGAGAAATACGGAAGCCATTGCAAGGTATATGCCACTGCAGTAGCAACCAATGTTCCCTCTAAACTGGAGTCCTGTGAGCAAAAATTCTACTTTGTGAGCTACTTGCATTAAAGTTGTGAGTGAGTGATTTGGCTACTGCATAAATTAGTTTGCTTTGGAGCCATCCTTCCTGAGCTACAACAAAAATGCGTGAGCCAGAGGCTCAAAAACTGTGAGCTAGCTCACACTAACTCAGCTTAGAGGGAACACTGGTAGCAACCACAGAAAAAGTAAGACTCCCCTTTTTTAACATCAGTGTTACTTCTGACTCATTTGTTCAATATTCACAGCAAATATATAATACAGTCATGTGTGCTCCCATCCCCAGTGCAGATCAAAAGGCACAATGGGACCATCTAGTTGTAGGGCAGAGGTTTCTGCAGAGCTGGGGGGGGGGGGAACCAAGATTTTCAGAAAAAGTGTTTTAAAAAACAATTGGATGAGGTTTAAAAATTCCAAGTGGCCACGCACTGTCTGCATGTATCATACACTGGTCATGCACTGTCTGTACATCACAAACAAACAGTTTGGACAGCATATTGAATAGTTGTAATAACCCAGGATGTTGTTTGAAAACATGGTGGCAATCATCACTGGAGGCAGGTGCGAAGAGTAAGCTACCACAGGATCCAGCTCGTTTCCATTGCATATCTACTTCTCTACACACTTTGCCAAGCCAGCAAGCAGACAAGGACACAGGAGGAAAGACCAAATGAGTGGGTAAGCAGCCAGAGGAGAAAATACTGGACAGACAGATTGGTTGGGTGACTGAGCAAGATGGGGGGGAGGGGAGCACAGAGCCACAATGACGGGTGGAAGTGAATACACTGCCAGAGCAAGAAGAGGGGAGGTTTACACCACAAGTCCTTACAAGTCTGTTGCACATTATATATTAGGAAGAACTAATTTTAAACAATCCTTACGCTCTGCAATATATAATTTCTTCTCTAGGATTACAGAATTCTTCACATGGTAGTAGGACAAATTGTTGATTGTAGCTGTAGTGTTAATGACCAGCTCCTCACATTTGTCAACTGATTTGTATTCTGATAATTTCAAAAAGATGACACATTAACTTTGATAATTACAACTACAGTAACTATATTGCACAGAATATTCCAAAATCTACAAAACAGATAGCCACATGAATCACTACATAAGTATGAACACAATTTCAGCAAACTTCAGTTCTTGAATTCAAAGTTCATTCTTCAGGCCACTCTAAAACTCCAATGTGATCTTGTTGGTTTTTCAGCTACAAGACAGTAGCCAGTAAATCCTGCTAAAACGAAGCCAGCATGGTGTATGACGGGTGGCCAAACTTGCTTAACGTAAGAGCCACATAGAATAAACATCAGATGATTGGGAGCCACAAGACATGTACAAATATCACACACACATTTTTATTGAAAAATATACAATTTTGCTTTTTATTAACATTAAATGAGACTGTCAAAAATAAAAACAAAAGGGGTAAAACAGATATTGATGTTTATATAGTATGATTTTATACTGATTGACAGTTTTAACTGGAATTTTAATGTACATTTATTTATGTTGTTAGCCGCCCTGAGCCTGCCGAATGGCGGGGAGGGCAGGATATAAATGTAAATATTAAATAAATAAATAAATATTTTTTTGTCCAATGATATTTGTTTGTTTGCTAATGATATTTCTTTAAGAGAGAGAGAGAGGTGGAAAGGTGGAAAGAGAAAAAGAGAGGGAAACAATGCAAATGGGGGAGGGAGGGGGAAGGAAGGGAAGGAGAAAGAAAGGTCGCAAGAAACCAAATAAAGAGAAAGAAAGGTGGAAAGAAAGCAAATAGAGGGGGAGGGAGGGAGGAGGAAAGAGAGAAAAAGAGAGAGAAACAAAGCAAACAGATGGGAGGAGAGAGAAGGAAGGAGGGAAGGAAGATGGGGAGGGAGGAGGGAAGAAGGACAGAAGGAAGGGAGGGAGGGAGGTGGAAAGAATGAAAGGTGGAAAGGAGAGAGAAATAGAAACAAAGAAAGCAAACAGATAAGGAAGGGAAGGAAGGGAGAGAGAGAGAGAAAGTGAGAAACAAAGAGAGCAAATAGATGAGGGAGGGGGAAGAAGGAAAGAAGAGAGGAAGGAAGGGAGAAAGAAAGAAAGAAAGAAAGAAAGAAAGAAAGAAAGAAAGAAAGAAAGCAAATAGACGGAGGAGGGGGGAGGGAGAGGTGAAAAGAAAGCAACCTTAATTTTAAATGTGGAGCACACATTTAAAGGTAAAGGCATTGTCCAACACACACCCCATGCCAGCCGGCTTGGCCTGGAGAAGGGATTTAAAGAGACAAATGCCTTCTCCAAGCCGATGGGCAGGTCCATGGGGCAGGGGCTTGGAGAATGCCTTTAACTTTAAATGTGTTCTCCAAGCCATCTGCTCCCGCTGCTTCACTTGGCTTGGAGAAGGGATTTAAAGAGAGTAATGCCTCCTTCAAGTCAAACCAGTTGGCTGGCATGGCAGTGTGGCAGAGCTTGGAGAACACATTTAACTTCAGATGGGGAGGGGAGAGTGAGAGAGAGAGAAAGGTGGAGAAAAAGTGGAAAGAAAGCAAATAGATGGGGAGAGGCAGAGGTGGAAATAAAACAACTTTAACTTTAAATGCATCCTCTAAGTCCCCCCTCTGCCCCCACACCGGCTGGCTTGGCTTAGAGAAGGGATTTAAAGAGACATGCCTTCTCCAAGCCAGCCTGTTGGGGGGGGCTTTGAGAATGCATTTAAAGTTGCTTTCTTTCTCTGCTCCCCCCTACCTCAAGGGAGGGAAACACTGGCTGGGGAAGGGAAGACCTATCGGGGAAGCATGCCTCTCCTTCACTACCCCAGCCGTCCTGCTGGAACCCTCACGATATGTGTGAAAGTGCCGCAGGCTGCTCCCAAGCCACAGTTTGGCCACTCCTGGTGTATGATCTGAAAAACCCAGGTCCAGATTCACACTATGCAATTAAAACTTGCCTAGGTGACCTTGGGCCAGTCACTCACTCTCAGCCTAACCTCCCTCACAGGGTTGTTGTGAGGATAAAATGGAGAAGGGGAGAATGTTGCAGGCCATTTTGAGTTTGCCTTTGGGGAGAAAAGTGGGATAGAAACAATGTAAATAAATATGGAAGTCCTATCCAGATAAAAATTCAAAGCTCTCCAAATGGCAACTCACTCTCTTGGGGATGTTTAGGGTTAGGACAGAAGGAGGGCAGGACCAGTTCCTCTGACCTATGAAAGGACGAGTTAATCTTTGGAATAAAGGTTGGGCCAGTGTGCAACACTATGCTGTCGTTATGAAAAATGCTAAAATCCTTGTGCACTGAAAGGACCCTAAGTTTAGAAACTCTCCTAGCTGAAGTGATACCCACTAGGAAAATGGTCTTAAAGATAAGCTCCTTGAGTGGACAGGTTGCCATGGGCTCAAAGGGAGGCTGTGAGAGAGCTTTCAGCACTATGTTTAGATTCCACAAGGGAAACCGGTGAGAACATGAAGGATTCGGGAGGGATGTTCTCAATTTCCCTGCCTTTTTAAAACCCCAATGAGGAGGAAAAGAGGGGAGGGGGAAATGGGAACACCACCACTCCACTCACCCTCTGCGAGGTGCGTGCCAGGAGCCCTAAAGCCGCTGGGGGAGAAGGAAGAAAACTCTTGCTGCAGCTGTGATGTATTGTGTCAAGATGGTCAACTGCAGATAGTAGTGGCTCTTGTAAGTCAAGGTTGGCCACAGTATTTGAGAGATGTTCCTTGTGAAGCAAAGCCATTTTGGTCAGTGAAAGATTCATTACGATGTGAAGATAGTATCCCTTATGTGGGAGAAAAAGTAGTTGTTCCTCTATCACAAAGGCGTAATATGCTATGACAGCTTCATGATTCACATCAAGGCATTCAGAGAACCAAAGCTAGGGCAAGAGAAGTGATGTATTGGCCAGGTATGTTTAATGGTATTGAAATGTTGATTGGAAATTGTTCTGTGTGTGCTCATTTTGCATCAAAAAATCAAATAGAACCACTTATGCCACATGAAATCCCTGAGTTACCATGGGGAAAAGTGGGGATAGATATTTTCGAACATGCCTCACTTCCATTTTTGCTCATGGCAGACTATTTTTCAAAATATCCTGAAGTAGTAACTTTGCCTGACAAGACTGCAAGAACTGTGACTGATAAACTTAAAGCCATTTTTTTCTCGTCATGGCATTCCTAAAGTGGTTGTGAGTGATAACATGCCTTTTGTCAGTCGTGAATTTCGGCAGTTTGCCCATGATTGGGTTTTGAACAGTGCCTTAGTAGTCCAGGGTACCCACAATCAAATTGAATGGTAGAGAGAGCAATTCGCTCCATAAAACAGTTTATTAGAAAGGCAGAAGAGGCACAGAGGGATATATATTTGGCACTGTTGGAATATCGTAATACACCTGTTACTGGAATGGCGTACTCTCCAGCTCAGATGTTGATGGGCAGAATGTTAAGAACTAAATTGCCAGTAACTACTGGTTTGTTATGCCCTAAGGTACCTAATGGGGCAAGAGAAGATCTTCAGAGAGTACAGGACAGGCAAAAATATTTTTATGATAAGTCAGCAAAATCTTTAAACAACAAGGAGACTCAGTATGGGTAGAGTCTAAGGAAGGGTGGGTTCCGGCCATGGTAACAGAAAAATGTGATCAGCCTCGCACATATCGAGTTATGACTTCTGATGGATCCATCTATAAGCGTAATAGATGCAAGTTGAGGTATCAGCGCAGGGTATGTGAAAGTAATGGGTCGGAGGACCTGGGTCAGGGTGTGGCCACAACTGAAAACGTGGACAGCCAAAATAGGGAATCTTGTAATGCATTTAATGAGAATACTGAGGACTCAAAACAGGATGAAAATGTATCAGATGAGACATGTTTGTTGCAAGCTGAGGAAAGGCGTCCTAGATGTGTAACATCTTATGGAAGATCTGTTTTTTCACCAGAAAGTTATGTACCTAAGTGATTGTATTTATTTTAACTAACATTTTGATATTTTTGTTTTTAAAAGTGTTTTGTAATATTTTTCTTTGAGAAAGGGAGATGTGATGTATTGTGTCTTTAAATGACCAGTAACAGAGCACAGCACAGCTGTATCTTGTAATGGGTGAAGCATTTATTGTTTGAGTATACTGAGTGTTACCTAAGTTGTTGCTGATTGCTGGTGCTGAGAGTGGACGCCAAATAAACTGTATGCTGTTCCTGTCTGAGGCTTCACGGAGTATTCTTTCTACCCTGGCCAGACACCACAGCAGCAGCCACTGACATTCCGTGGGCCTCTGGAGCGACCAGGTAAGCTCCTGGCCCAAAACTAGACTCCTTGTGGCTGTCCCTTCCACTCCAAGGAATGGCCTGAGAGGGGATGGTGGATCCCTCTCAGGAAATCTTCCCCGCTGGTCATGCTGCAGAAAGACGGCTTCCTGGAAAACCGTCTCCTCTACTCACGAGGACCATCATTGGGGGGGTGGGGGTATTGCAAAGTAGCGAAAACCCACCGGGACAGCTTGAAGTCATTTACCCCTGGCCCCAAGCCCCATTGCCCCAAGCCAGAAGGGGGGGGACAGAAATAAAAATCAAAGATGAAAGGGGGGGGGACAGAAATGCTGTTGGAACTGGGATTGCTGAGCTCAGCCAGCCTTACACATTGATGGGGTCCGAACTGGTGGAGACTGGCGTCGTAGTAGATAACTCAATGAAAATGTCGAGACAGTGTGTGACTGCAATAAAAAAGGGCCAACGCTATGCTCAGGATTATTAGGTAGGGAATTGAAAACAGATCAGCCAGTATCATAATGCCCCTGTATAAATTGATGGTGCAGCCTCATTTGGAGTACTCTGTGCAATTCTGGTTACCATACCTCAGAAAGGATACTATAGCATTGGAAAAAGTGCAGAAAAGGGCAACTAGAATGATAAAAGGGTTGGAATACTTTCCCTGAAAGGTTAAAACGCTTGGGGCTCTTTAGCTTGGAGAAATGACGGCTGAGGGGTGACATGATCGAAGTTTATAAGATTATGCATGGGATAGAGCAGGTAGAGAAAGAAATACTTTTCTCTTTCTCACAATACAAGAGCTCATGGGCACTCAATGGAATTGCTGAGCAGTTGGGTTAGAACAGATAAAAGGAAGTACTTCTTCACCCAAAGAGTGATTAACACATGGAATTCACTGTCACAGGAGGTGGTGATGGCTACAAGTATGGACAGCTTCAAGAGGGAAGTGGATAAACATATGGAGCAGAGGTCCATCAGTGGCTCTTAGCCACAAGGTATAGACTCTTGGTCTCAGGCAAGGGATGCTCTATTTTCTAGGTCCGGGGGGGGGCAACAGTGGGAGGACTTCTAGTGTCCTGGCCCCACTGCTGGACCTCCTGGTGGCACCTGGTATTTTTGGCCACTGTGTGACAGAGTGTTGGACTGGATGGGCCATTGGCCTGATCCAACATTGGCTTCTCTTATGTTCTTATGTTATGTTCTTACTGCCTTGCAGGCAGGGCCAAGACAGGGAGCTTGGGGAGAAGTTCCTCCCCCATGGTATCTAAATCGTCCATGACCCTGCCTGCCTCCAAGGAGGAGCTACTTCCCATATATGGAGACTCACCCACCCTAGGACCACTAGAGAATAACAATTTAGAGACAAAAGAGAATACTGGAGAACCTTGGAGATTCTACTTCCTGGTGCACATAAAGATGGAGGTAGTGGTGGGGAGTTCTATGTTATCCTATACACCAGTGTTGATTTCAGCACTCACTCTAGCAGGATTTGATAAATCACAATGAGAAGCCTATAGTACTTTATCCATTATTACTAAACAAAATACCAGTTCTTACCTAGCACTTTAATAAGTAACCCCAGAATCTGATGATTAGTAGCTAGACTTGCACCGACACTAGGATGAATGGACAAATTGGCAATCACTCTTACAAGTTTGATGAGGACATCTTCTGCTTCAGAAGGATGCTTGACGTTTCTTAATTCACCATCATCTTGGCAGGGTTTACTATTAGAGTCAATATCACAATGAGTTTGGAATAGAGTTATCAGGGTATTAATGCTTCCTTGCATCTCAAAAAATTGTTCCCGAGCCTGATTGTTCCTTGCTGTTAGGTTGCCAAGAATGAAAATGACACGAACAACTAAATCCTGTAATTAAAAAGAAAAAAACAGCTGCAAGTTAAAATAGGTAATAATTTGTGGAAAATATACCTGGTTTATTTCAGTTGAAATCTTCACTTCAAAGTGAAAGGAACAACAGAACAGAACAAAGGGTAGCCATGCTGGTCGGCAGCTGAAGAGCTAGATTCGAGTCCAATAACACTATGGAGAAATGCATTTTCCTTTGGAGGTTTGAACTAAGCAAACCTTCACCATGAGCTATAAAAAGTTTTCTCTCTCTTGGCAGAGTACAAGTTGGGGAAGGCGGGGAATCAGTTTATCAGATTCACCCACCAAGCCTTTAGATATACAAATAGTAAGCCTAGCAGACACAATGAGATGGCCAAGTCACCAGAGGTTATTTCAGGGGGGATCATGGGGGATTGCAGTTCCCCCGGGTGAGGTACGGGGGGTGGGGCATATGATGAAGCCCTGCCCCTGCTTCCGGACGCCCCGCTTCCGGCCCTCATTCAGCCAGGAGGAGGCAGGAGAAGAGGGAGGGTAAGTTGCTTCCTCCCTGCCTCTCCCCACCCCTGCCTGCCTGGAGCCAGGGAGGGCCTTTGCGGGGCTTCCTTGTACTCCCGCCGGCCTTGCAGGTTGTGTGGCCTTATGACACACTTCCGGTGATGTCAGGGGGTGTAGCCTTATGACACACTTCCGGTGATGTCAGGGGGTGTGGCATATGCTAATGAGTTATGCTAATGAGTTCCCCTAGCTCTTTTTCTACGAAATGACCCCTTCAAGTCACACACACACAAACACACACATCCCTCCAGCTAGACAGGTAATAACAAGCAGGGAATAGATATTTGGAGGATTTAAGGGGGTAGACTGTAGGAAACATTTCCTGGAGACTTCAGGAAAAACTTCTATAACCTTACATGACCTGGTCAGTGGGAGGAGGAAGTTAAAACTCCTGGGAGAGAGTTGGAGGGTCTTTAATGTGCTGATTTCATGCAGACAGGCTCTTGATATTTGTAGGAGGCAGCCATTGCCATGTGCTAATCTGCACACCTGAGCAGAGGCTTCAAGGTAACAGAAACCCTTTACAACAACTGTAACCTTTTAAGCCAAAGAGGCTGCCTTATATTAACACCCTAGGGCATGGAGAGAGGGAGGGACAGAGGAATTACATTTCACTCTTTTCTTTTGGATCGCTTGCTCAATCTGGTGCTGTGCTCCTGGTCCTCTCAGTGGGCAATTTCTACAAAGGCCAGGTGGTGGCAGTGGCTGAACTGAGAAAAGCCCCTCCAGGTGTTGGGAAAGCCAGGTGTTGGGAAAGCCAGGTGGGTGGCACATGCCAGTCAGAGACCTCAGACAGCCGCTGGTACCCAAATGCCTCAGAGGGCACAGCAGAATAGGGCCTGTAGGTCAGAGCAGGACTGTTCTGCCACAAGCACCTTAGAGACCAACAAGATTGTCCTGATATAAGCTTTTGGGAATCAAAGCTCAAAGAGTCAAAGTATCTGACAAAGCAAGCTTTGACTCCTGAAAGTTTATACCACAAAAATCTTGTCAGTCTCTAAAGTGCTGATGGAGTCAATTCAGTACATAACAATAGGCCTTACATTGGTTTCATTATCCATGTCCAGGCAAAGATATGGCATAAACATCTGAGAGAAGCACAAATCAACCAATAATCACGGATGCTAATTTTTTTCAAAGCACAACTTAACATACAATCCTAAACACACATACTTAGAAATAACTTCCGTGGAATACCCACGTAAAAATATTAAGTATCTGAGGGAATTGTAATGAATTGTAATGAGTGGTGATTTAGTCACATTGCTGAGTTCAGCAAGTAAATGACACATTAACACACATCCCACAGACAGACTTGTATAAAAGTGACTCCCTTTCCAGGGAACTACAATTCAGCAGGCTGGGCTAGTAATCTTTAACACCAAACTGTCAGTACCAGTAATCTTTAACACCTAACTGCAATACCAGGATTCACTGGTATACCAGGAGAAAAAATGACCATTTGATTGGTATAAAACTGATGCAAGTGTGCAGTATAGCTCTCCATAATTCACAGAGTCCATGACAAACTTGAGGAGTTGGCTGCCTCTGATGAATGTGTAGAAGGCAACACAGACTGGTTCCATATAGAGTTCTTCCTTCACTTTGCCTCCCAAATGACAGCCAAACTACAACCAAAAGGGAGATGATGTCCAGTCATCTCCCTTTTGATTTTTCTCCAGTTCCACTGGAAGTTTTCCTAAACCTGCTCTGGTATGATCTTTTCTAAAAAATCTTACGTAAAGGGGGTTTGGGGAAAGCACGGTGGGAAGATACAGATTTTTGCACCTCCGCACTCTCGTCTGACATCATCTCCCTTCCCACTCACCCCCCCAGAGGATTTTTTTAAGCCCTCGGAGAGGATTTTTTATTGGTTTTTTCTCACTACAAAACACTACAACAGAAATAAGGGAGGGGGAAACTACACATACAGGAGAAAGTAAAATATCCACTACTAACTAAAAACCCAAGAGAGGAGATCCTCCAACTAGCTTTTATACATCCAGTCTTTTCATCTTTTTTCTTTTTATGAACTGTGTCAAAACTTTTAAGACTTTTTACCCTCCCAGTTTAGATTTAACTGCCCAATAACAGTGCCCCCAATCATCCCCAAGAACCAAAGTTCTCAAAGGCACAATTCAGAGTCCTTCAGCCTTTACTTCTTCTTCTCTTTTCTCTTTCACAACTGGTAGGGACTTTTCGGGGCTACTTCCCCCTGCACAGACAAAGAGTCCTCGCCAGATGAACCAGTTTACAGCTCGCCACTGGACCTGTTGTCCTCTTCTTTTTTTCTCGTCCTCTGACCTTCCCAGCTGTTCCTTTAGAAATTCTTGAGCTTTCAGAACAATCTTTTCTTCTTCTCTTTGATCTTGAATGTTACGCCTTCTGGAAATAGCCATTTGTATCCAATTGAATTTGTTTGGAGAAAGAGCACAAGTTCTTTATATTTCTTTCTGCGTTGTCTTACTTCAAATGGAATATCCTTTAGCGTTCTCACTGCATTCTCCCCTGCCTTCAGGGGTGTTGCCACTACTGCTTTCAGGATAGCATCCCGGATGTGCCTCTTCGAGAATCTTACTACGATTTCCCCAGGCAGATTATTTTTCTTTATGTATCCTGAATATGACCTATAGGCCACATCCATATCATTGAGAAACAAGTCCGCCTTTATTTCTGTTACTGGGGCAAGTAGTTCACTCATAAGTTCTTTAAGATTCTCTCCTTTGTTCTCTGGCACCCCCTGGAAGCGCAGGACCATATTGGCCTTATCCATTTGTACTTGAAGCATTTGATCTTCCAAAGAAGATGTTTTCTTTTCCAATTTTTGCACTTTCTTCTTCACTTTCTGCGTTGATTCAGCTACTTCCTTTACTTTCTCAGCATCCTGACTCATTACTTGAATCAAATCAGTTATTTGCGTTTGCTGCACAGAAATGCTCTGTGTTACCATGGACATTTGCTCTTTGAAGTTATTCAGCTGATCCAGTAGAGGGCGCATGAATTCAGCTATAGCCTTTGCCGTCTCACTGGTCGTTTCTGGCTTAGGGGACTCTGGTTTCGTTTTCAAAAGTCTGTCTTTGTCTTTTTCCCTCTTCCCTGCCATTTTTTCCCCATTTGTTTATTTTCGGAAAGTTTTTAAAAGTCTCTGAATATGCACTTGACTGCTTATCTCAATTGGGTAAGTACTTCTGGGCTATTTAATCATGTTTCTCTTCTGCTCCCCCCCCCTTTGCTCAACAGTTTATTTGCATGGGAGGCGTCCCCCCGCTCGCTTTTCCCGTTCCGCGGAGTAGGGTAGGGAGTGTCTTTTCTTTCAAAAATTGTTTCTCGGTTGACTCACGTTCATAGTTGGCCTTTCGATCACGCTTCTTTCATCATTTTTCACGCCCGATCTCCTGCACTTGCCCCGGTTAGCTTCACTTGTACCATTCGGTCTCTCAGCTGGAGGAACCACTGGAGCGGAGGGGCGCCTCAATTCTCTGGCATTCCGTCATCGAAGAGGCTACCCCTCAAAGCTCCTTGGCCAGGGTCCCTTCGCCGGGCCCCTGGGGGGGGTTACGAGCCTGCTCACCCCCTCCCTCCGCCAGAGGATGGAGACACCCCCAGGAGGTGAGTCCGTGAGCGTGCCGCCATCAACCGGAAGTCCCCCAGAGGATTTTTTAAAATTATCATTAACAGATATGTCGCTACAGTGTTAACACATTATAATGATATACAAACTACCATTCAAAGAAAACCCCATGGTAAAAAGCCTGCTGGAGGGAGGGGGAATAATGGCAAATGTAAGGGGAAAGAATGGGGACATGCCACTGTGAGGAAGCAATCATAAACTGAAGGCAGACTATAACTGTCTCACATCATATAGTTCCCCAGGAGAAGCTGTGTTACAGCATCAGAGCAAAAACTGAAGTCCAAAGGTGCTTTAGTTAGTCTTTGTAGTACCACTGGAAGTCTATAGTACCACCAAAATTTAGTCTTTATAGTACCACTGGAAGTCTGTTTCTTTCACACTGGCTTTCAGCTGTTTCCCACTACTTTCAGTCTCCACCCCTTCCCCCAATTAGGAAAATTATTTCATGCTTACCTTTATACAAATTTCTCATTATTAAGGCGTTACCAGATTTATCTTTTCCTTCTGGATTAGGCAAAATGGAAGATTTGTCTCACTTACCATGAATTTTCCTTCTCGGTGGTCTTGGGATGGGGTAGTCTGAGGCATGTGGGAAGAATCTCCTCCCTGGAGGCAGGCAGGGTCACTGTTCTTTCGATTCCCAAGGGAAGGGGCTTCTCTCCCAGGCCGGTTCTGAAGTGTTTCAGCTCCCACTCCGAGGCATAGAAAACCACCAGCCAATGGTCAAACAACAAAACACTACACATGACAGAGAGCCCTACAGTAATAGAAGAAATCCCTAGGCCGAAACTGTTAAGTCACTCGCTTAACAAAGTAGTCGGAGAGTGATTCA